ATTCATATAGAATATTTCTGATAAATGGTGAATGCAGATGTGTTTATGTTGGTTAAATCTTTACAGTAAATTAGAGAATTAAATGAAGGAAAATCATAATTACACGTATTACTGATAGAAGTGTGGATCAACAGCTCATTAACGGAAAATAAAATGATGCTAAGCAAGCGAAATGTTTTGGTTTCCGCCTTGTTAATGTGATTATTTGCTGTTTTTCTTCCACTTATGATTGTAAATCGAACAACTTTGGACAAAACACAACATTTAAAGACATTATCGTTAACTCTGGGCAACTTTTTCTACCATTTTCAAAAACCAAACAGCTTAACTGATAATTAAACGTATTTTCAGTGTATTCTGTGAAAAAGAAATCGAACATTAAAGTCCATTTCTGGACCAAAGACATCCGTTGGAAGCTACAGCGGAGCCACTCAGCTTTAAGGCGCTGCAGCTAAATAAAGAATGAGCTACCCGAGACGCCGATCAGGGTCATTATACACTCAGGCAGCAGCTTTCATTTAACACAAACAGAAAACGAGATTAATCCGAGAACCCTCCACACTCAGGCCGAGCCGCTGAAAACAGCTGTAAAGGTTTTACAGCTCAGAGTTCGTCTGGTTCCCCGACGCCCACCAACAAACTCCTCAGACGGCAGAAGAGCAAGAACGCAGCATCAGACGCGTGAAGTTTCACGACTGAAAACCTCCGACTAACCCCGGAGGAACAAAGGCTTGAAAACCTCCGACCAAACCCGGAGGACGAAGGCTCGAAAACCTCCGACCAAACCCAGAGGACGAAGGCTGAAAACCTCCGACCAAACCCGGAGGACGAAGGCTCGCCGACAAGCTAACACTCGGAGCTTCGCTTCAATAAAAAGGCGACAGATCGACAGAAGCAGCGCCGCATGACTGCCGGTGTTTATAACTCTATGGATCAGTTGATAAGTTTGTAAAATGGTGAAAAACGTTGAGTCCAAAGCGTCGACCTCAGATGTAACAAAACAATTAATCCTTTTTTTTGTTCTGTGATTTTACCAGTTATTTTTTGTAATTTCAAAACAATGAAAATCTGTAAAAATAACATAAAAGTGTTTAAAAAAATGAGTTAAAAACACTTAACAGCGTATAAATATAATAATATAATCATGTCAGAAAATGGTGAAAAACGTCGACCTTCGTTTCATAAAGTTCAAAATGTCGTCCGTAAATATAACAATCTGCGATTTTTGTATTTATTATCTGTAATTGTGAAAAAAAACAAACATGGAAAATCTTTAAAATCGCACCAAATTGTTCAAAAAAACTACAGTTAAAAATTGATTTTTTTAAACGGCATCACAATATAATGTCTCACAGACCAGCTGTAGTACCTGGTTGTTCCACCAGGTGGAGCCTCTCCCTGTTTAATCCTGTAGGGACCAGAGGAGACTCTGAGGAGGTTCATGACGTCCGACCAGAACTTACGTTGCGATCTATCAGCGTTTTTACAATCTAGTGACACGTTTAACTGAGCTGTTAATGTCCAAGTCTGTGGACATAAAAAAGAAATATCAGCCGATGGAATAATGTCCACTTTTTCCTCCATTAGTGTGATCGATTAATTGATTATTGGTTGGTAACACTGTGAGAAAGTTTTAGAATTTGCATCCCCACAGTTGACTAAACAGATAAACGTTAGAACTCCAGCTAGTCGGCTCTTGAAAATTTAGTTGGATAAACTAAATATAAATCGTGGAACAGAAAACGTTTCATAAAACCATCTTGTCAGTATTTTAATCTAGAAAATGAAAATAGAAATAAACTGAGTAAACGACAGTAGAACCGATCGAACCAAAAAGACTTTCCAGAAAGATAACGCTGCTCATCACGGCAGCAAAACTCGAATGAAACCTACTAGTACTAAATCAAAATGTTTAAACTTCAGTCGACAGAGAAACTAATCACTAGGACCATCCCAGCTACAAACACTCATGTAGGTAAAAGCAGAGATTTATGATGGCGTATTCCTTTGAGGTGGTTAGAAAGTGAGAGCGACCACGGCTGGTCTCAGCTTCCATACAGGTGTATCACCTGACGGACAGACACCTGAGTACCGCTGTTGACACTCAAACGTCAGGTTTCCTCCTCGTAAATTATTAAAAGTTTAGGATGAAGACTTGGTTTCAGGTTGGAATGAGGTCGAGTGTGGCTCAGATTTAGCTTCAGGTTTGGGTTGGACGAGACGAGGTTTAGGTTAGACTAGGTTTAGGTTGGACTAGATTAGGTTTAGGTTAGACTAGATGAGGTTTAGGTTGGACTAGGTTTAGGTTAGACTAGATGAGGTTTAGGTTTAGGTTAGACTAGGTTTAGGTTAGACTAGATGAGGTTTAGGTTTAGGTTGGACTAGGTTTAGGGTGGGGCCAAGTTAAAGTTTAGTGATGTTTGTGTTTCCTCACCTCTCTGCTGGGACTCCTGTGGAGGAAGCAGAGACACATGATGGTTAGAATCACAGGTAAAGATATCAGGAGAAATAAATGAAGAAATAAAGGAAGCACGAGCTCCATTGTCGTCTTTTTCAAAGATCAGATCATCGGATTCCATCCTGATTACACTCAGCAGGTGACATAAAGGGCTTTCAGTGTTTTATCCTTCAAAGGATCTCAACAAACTTCTTAGATTTAGATTTTATATTTAAAAACACAACACGTTGGATAGATTCAGAGGTTTTGCTCAACTTTTTTTTAAAACAGTTGCAGAACGACGCTACGAGAACAAAACGTAACAGTAAGTTGTTCACTGTGCACCTTGTCATGAGATCAGTTTGTTATTAGCATTATTAGCATCTCAGGCTAGCTTACAGACTGTACTGTACCTGCGTTAAAGCGACCAAACGCTCGTGTGAAAACACTTTACCTTCTAAGGTGTCTGTTGTCGGGCAGTAGCTGGCTCTGCGGGTGGGCGGGGCCGCGGGGGGAAGCTCCTCCCCCTTGTCTCTCCCCAGCCAATCGCGTCCCTTCGCGGGCGGCTTATCGGCCACGTAGACGATTCGTATGTGCTGGCAGCGCTCACGATCTTTACCGCTGAGGAAATCTGGGAGGTCGTTGACCTTTCAGAGAAGAAGGAGATGAAGGCAGTTAGAGAGAAGACGAGCGTGAACGTCATACAGGACGTACATAAATAAGAATTAATTATCATAATAATCAAACATGATTAATTAATGTTTAGCGGTTCAATCGGTGTTAAAAGTGTTCGCTGTGGGACTATGGATGGATCTAAATTTACCAAAAAAGACAAATAAGTCAGTCTCTCAGGAATCTTTAATCAGGTTTCGTCCAAGTTTAGCTCAAATTTTAACCTAATTTTAATAAGATTTCCAAAAACAAACCCAAGTTAAGTCACTGGTGTCATTATGTGACTCTTAAGAGCACAAATCCTCCAGCTGGTGCCGCTAAAGCAGAGGAAGAAGCCATATAACAGTTGAACCTGATATTTCCGTCTGTCTCCGGTGTCCCTGATGTTTAATCAGTTAATTAATTAAACATTATTTAAGCGCTAAGTCGGTTTCACAGAATCCAGCAGAATTCAGCTGCCGAGGCCGACGGCAGGTCAACGGTTTAACGCCGGATTACGGGTTAAACCTCTGACATAACGAGACATAACGAGAGTCGGCGCTGCGCTTCGTTTTGCAGCTCCGAGGCTTTTTTAAGACTCTGCTGGATGAGTCTGGGTCATCCAGTTAAATATAATCGGAGGATAATCAGCTGACGAGCTTTCACTTTCGCCGCAGCGCTGAGCTTCGGCAGGTCGACTTGTAGCCTTAAGTAGATCAGTAAAGTAAATAGTAAACAGCGGAGGACGTGATGGTGTGAACAGTGTATTTATGTGTTAGATTAATTCTTATATTTAGGCTGTAGGTCTTCTGTTGAGGTTGGAATTTGTGTGTCGAACAAGAGATAATTTGGAATTTTAGGTAGAAAGAAAAATCACTGAAACAATTAACGGATTACGACTTATTATGTCCACATCCAAACTATGTGTGTCTTCAGTTTCAAGCTCTAATAATAATAATATTGGTGTTTACAGGTCTCATAACGGTGCTTTTAACTTTAATACCAGAGTTTTCAGCTCTAGTAAAGATTCTTCAGCTCTAATAACATATTTGTTAACGGCCAGTAAAGGTGTTTCCGCTACAATAACTGTGCTTTCAGCTCTACTGATGCTGTTTCAAGCTCTAATAATAATAACAACAACGGTGTTTTAGGTTTCAGTAGGAGTGTTTGAGCTCTATTAACAGTATTTTCACTTCTAATAACTGTGTTTTCAGCTCTAATAACATATTTGTTAACGGCCAGTGAAGGTGTTTCCGCTACAATAACAGTGTTTTCAGCTCTACTGACGCTGTTTCAAGCTCTAATAAATGGGTTTTCACCTCTGATATCGGTGTTTTAAGGTTTAATAGGTGTGTTTAGAGCTCCATAGTTTGGATTTCAGTTCAAATAACACATTTTCAAGCTCTAATTTCTTTATTTGCAGCTCTAATAACGGTTTCCAGCTCTGATAATGGTGTTTTTCAGCTCTAATAACAGTGTTTTAAGCTCTAATTACAGTGTTTCAGCTCTATTAACCGTATTTTCAGCTTTAATAACATTCTCCAGGTCTACTATTGGTGTTTTAAACTCTACTAACTGTATTCTCAGCTCTAATAATATTGTTTTAAGCTCTAATATTGGTGTTTAAACTCTCATAATTGTGTTTCCACCTCTACTAAAAGTGTTAACTGTGTTTTCAGCTCTAATAACAGTGTTTCAGGTCTATTAATGTTGTTTTAAATCTCTCATAACAATGTTTCAGCTCTAATAACTGTTTTCAACTCTAATATTAGAGTTTAAAACAGTTATTAGTGTTTTAGCTCTATTAACTGTATTTTAAATTCCATTAACGGTGTTTTCAGCTCTAATAATATTGTTTTAAACTCCATTAACTGTATTTTAAACTCTATTAACTGTATTTTAAACTCTATTAACGGTGTTTTCAGCTCTACCGTTGCTGTTTTGAGCCTCTATCAACATTCCTCGGGTCTGTAACTTGTTCTTCTACCATCGGTGACATCCGTCCTAACGGAACCGGTCCAAACGTGAGCACTCACCAGGTCGATGTCGCGCACGCGGCCGAAGCTGACGGCGGCGGTGAGCGCGCGCGGCGGGTACTCGGCCAGGTAGACTTTCTGGTCGCTCAGCACCACGTGCATGTACACCTTGTTGACGGTGTCGGACCGGACCACGCACGGCTCGTAGGCTCGGATCCGCTCGTACACCGCCCGCTCCGTGTTCCGCTTCAGGAACGAGTCGAGCCGCACGTTCCGGCGGCACAGCAGCGTCCCGGACCCGGTCCGGGCCATGGCGGGCGGCTCCGGGCCGCTAACCTCCGCTCTGGGCCGAGCCGGCCGCTCCGCCGCCGGTGTCCATCCGTTCAGGTGACGCTGAGAAAGCGGCGGACAGGTGAGGAGCTCCGGTACCGTCCCGGAGACTGAAGCAGGTGAAGCGACGCTGCCGGGCGCCGTTGGAGAATACTGCTCTCTGATTGGTCCGTGGAGAGGAGCGGAGGCCGCTGATTGGCTGGAAGATAAGCCGCTATTTCATAATTTAAAAAAAACAAAACTTTTGCACACATTCGTTAAATTAAGAGTTTAACTGAAAAACAACTGAACAGAACTAATATTAATAATAAAGTTTAGCTGTTTGCTGATTGGCTCCCCTTTCACCTAAATTATTTATATTTAATTTTATTAAACATATGAATAAAATGTTATTTGTACGCCAGCTTTTGTAGACTTTATAACGAATAAAATAAGAGAGTTTACATTTAAAACAACTTGAAGTGACAATAAATAAACATCATGTAAAAAAACAAACAACTAATAATAAACCTGATTGGATGTTTTCTGCTGATTAGTAGATTCAGTTAAAAATGCTCTAAAAGCTGAAGATCAGATAGAACCTTTTAATAAACCCAATCAAACTGATGCTACCAATGAAAATGAACTGTTTACTGCTAATTAGTTGGCTGCTGATCTTTTGACCTCTACGATCAATCAAACCTGATTTCTAATAAGATATAATAATTAATTACTGCTAATTATTGGACTCAGTTAAAGGTGCACAAGCTGATGATAAAACAGTAAAACAATCTGAAGTTACTGCACGCAAGAAATGAAAATGTTCAAAAATAAAGTACCAACAAACTTGAATAAAACTATTATTATAATCAATATAATAATAAATTAAGTCCCTGTTATTTATAGGGCAGATTTAAACAAGCAGCTGTTGAGCCAAATGGGATTAAAGTTATCAAATAACATAAGAACAACTATAAACAAACATTTCTTTAGTGATTGTTTCTTTAACCGACACCAGCATCACTGTTTATTCATTTCATTTTATTTTTAAAAGGAAAAAAAAGCAAAATCTGCTCTTTTTTCAGCCTCGAAAATCTGAATATTTGCTCGTTTATTTAACCAGTAATCACTAAATGTGTATATTTTTGACTCCTGGTTGAGAGAGACTGACTTTGTGAGACGTTCAGGGATTAGTTCTGCGATATTTCACTACTTTTTTTAGCGTTTAATGCACTTAATCCAGATTTACAGGCCTCCTGTAACGGACATTTATCCAGTTTTATTTAGATAATAAACATAATCATGGTACAGTTGTAAAAAATCAAATCAAAATGCATGTGTGAGAGTTCTGTTTTGATAATTAAATGTTTTTTTTTTATGGTTAATTAATATTCCAGTGGGGGTTGTTGTAATTCACACATCTGGCCACTAGGTGTCAGTAGACTTCAGATGATCTTACCACTTGAACACGTTTTCTATGCAGCTAGTCCTCCTCACTCATCATATCCAGACACTCTTTAATGAATTTAAAACCCTCGTGTGGCTCAGAGACTTCCTGACTGAATAATGCTGACTAACGCCTCCTCTGCCTCGTCCTCGTCTCGCCTGAAACTCCAAACTCGAGGCGGCTGCGAGCTTTGAACGGGATCTTTGTGACCGCGAAGGAGATGAAGGCAGTTTTGTCTCGGAGGTCGTCGGAGGAACAAACTCGGTCTTTTATAGCAACCGAGCCAGAAAAGCGACACACTGAAGACGCACTGAGGACGAGCCAACGAGTGTGAAGCTGCTGCTTGTTGATTTTAGCCTCAAAAGTTTTACCCAAAAACTACGAAGAGCGAAAAGTTAAACGCTGATCCGAGTCCAGCTAACGACGTTCAGGAGGTGAAATGCTTCAAATCTGGAGCCAAAACGATCGTCTGAAGGTGCACACGAGAAAAAAATGTCACTGAAACTGACAGAATAAAGAATTTACACATGAAATTATGCATTACAGTTATTGTTGTTGATGTCATTAAACTAAAAAATCCACTTTTAACTGATGCATTATTGTGTAAACAGCATTTTACTGCTGCTTTGGTTTGCAACCCATGATTATTGTTGATATTATAATTAAGAATTCATCATTTAATTATGTTCTTAGTTAATTAATCGACCATTTGGCTGTGAAATTTCTGAAAAGTGAGAGAAATGTAGTTGGCATTACTCGCGCTGACCTCAAAATTATTAGAAATTCTTAAAATAATAACAAT